TGTGGAGGGATTATTGAGGGAGGGTGGAGGGAGGGAGGGAGGGTGGGAGGGAGGGTGAAAGGGTGGAAGGATGGAGATGGAGCGCCATGTCTCCCATAGTTCACACCCCGAAGGAAAAAACAGCCACACGGCTCTATGGGCCCGGAGGCCTCAGTGTTATTAGCATATGCATCATTTGCGCCCACACGAATCCCCCAGGGTCCCTGTCGTATTTAAGTCATTTAGCCGGCGGCTCCCCCGTTCGTTTGACTGGACATTCATAGGAGAGTCATCACACACACACACACATAACCAGCAGAGGCACACAAACGCGCGGCACGCTAAAACCCGCCATCAAGCCTATAATTTATTTAACTTTTGGAGAGACATCCCCAGACTCCCAGATGGGCAGTGGCAGGTGTTGTGTCGTGTGCGGGTTTTTTTTAATTGTTTGGATGTTGTGCACACAACACATGGGTGAGGGGCTCTTGCTGTGATGTTTCGTCTCACCCCACAGCCTTCACCCCACAGCCTCTGGGGGTCAGTTGTCTTTTCAAACACGCCACGTGACGCCACCACACGCCGCCCTGATTCATTTGGAGGCCACAATATCCCAATGTGCCAGAATGTCTCGACGACGCCGGGGTTATGGGGGATGCATTTGCAATACGTCCAAAGCATGATATACACGTCGGGTGCATGCAATGTGGTATGGGATGTGGGGTACGTTTAGATTCTTTATATGGGACAGAGGGCGCAAAGGGTCGTCCAGCTGTGGAGGGCTGGAGAGAGGTGCCGTGGGGGACTCTTTTTAACATCTTTTACACAAACGCTTTTGTGGCGCTTTTGTGGGTAGGAATGCATGTGTTTTGTCTTCTCCCACTTGTGGTGGTGTAAGTTGTTTTGAGCCACACCATCCTGTGGCGCGCAAGCGAGATTTTGTGCGCACGCAGCTGCAGCTGCGTGTGTGCATGTGCATGCATGTTCGTTACCGACCCGTGGGTTTTCCTCTGCCCCGACGACGCCCTGTGGCGTCCTGCTTCCCGTATGCTAGTTTTAGCACGTGTGGAACAATTTAGGGCAGAACGATAGGTGTGATGGGAGCGACAAGCAAAGCTGTCGTGCTCAAATGGAGCGCGCTCAAATGGATGTTCGGCGACATGTTGACAACGCCACACACAAGCAACTCCACAGACTAAAGCGGGTGATGCGCATATAGACGTGTACATGATTTTTGAGGACATGACCTGGTGTATGGTCCCTTTCCTCTAAGCGGCCGCACAGCCACGGGCGGCTAATGTCC